GTCAGGTTCAGTGGTTTGATAATCGATGATTGAACCAGGTTAGAAAGATGTGTTCATCTTGGTGGTGTAGTTCTAGCAGTAACCTTTTTGACAGTATTGAAGATTTTGTTGGAGAAATTGTTTCAGAGAGATTCTTTGTGTTGAGACATAAATTTTGGAGATTATGGAGAGGAGAAGCAAGTTGTTGAAGATTAAATCAAGAAGGTGGACAAATTTATTTTTTCAGAAATTCAGGCCAAGGGGGAGATTTATTGGGTTTTATTTGCTCTAAATTTCTTACCATAAATAAGTTTTCCTTGTAGGAAAAGGTTTTGGATTGACTAATTCTTTTCTTGTAGGAAAAGGTTTAGTACTCTATAAATAGAGGCATGTTCCTTCTAACTTAATCAGCATTCACAATGTAGTCTTAAGGGCTTTGAGAGTTTTGGTTAGGGGGAGAATTTATGGGTCACAAGCTTAATACGTTATCACTTGTGTGAACCTCCCATGTATTCTGAGTGAATTGGTTGAGGTTGTTTCCCTCTGTATTATGTACTCTCATATTTATAGTGGATTGCTCATCTCCTTTGTGGACGTAGGTCGATTGACCGAACCACGTTAAATCTCTGTGTCTTTTGGTATATTTTTTGTTGTCTTCTTGCTCGTGGTCTTTCAAGGTTTGCATGGCTAGCTTCCGCATTTACACCTGCTTATTGCCGGTCCTAACACATAGTTCCCCCTCAAAGGTTAACAATAAAAAGAAATTTATAAAAAAACCCGACCGAGGTCAACATAGACCACCTACTTATCTCATTCTTGAGAATTCTGATCGAACGTAGTTCAAATACAAAGAAATATAAAAAAGGGATAATTAGGACGACCGAGGCAAAAATAGATCTCCTGCGTAGCTCACTCTTGAGAATTCTGATCAGACGTAGTTCATTACAAAGGGATAGAATTTTAAACAAACCAAATACAAGCAAATCGAAGATTACAAGCAAATGACAGAAATGCAACTGAAGCTTCACATGTAGTATCTCTTGACATCATCTGAGTTGATCAGTTTCAGTCATGCGGTGCCATCCATCTCCAACAGGATCGAAGCACCTCAAGATAATACTTTGTGAAACGAGTAAGGACCTTGCCAGTTTAGTGCGAATTTTCCTTTGTACTCATCCTGATGAGTTAAAATGTGGTTAAGTACTAACTGACCAATTTCAAAAAATTTGTGTCTCTCTTGTGAAAAGCGCAAACCATTCATTGTCAATATAGTTGACCATGACAAATGGCAACCATATTCTTCTCGTTAATTAACGTCAATTGGTCAATCCACTTACTGACCCACTCATCATTATTCTATTCTGCTTCTTGGACGACTCTGAAGGACGGTATCTCGACTTTAGCACGTATGGCTACTTTTGTTCCATACACTAGCAAGTATGGACTAGCTCCAATCAACGTTATGACAATTGTTCGATAACCCAACAAAGCATATGGTAACATCTCATGCCAAATTCAGTGATTGTCAATCATTTTCCTCAGAATCTTCTTGATATTCTTATTTGCAGCTTCTACATTTCCATTCATTTGAGGACGATAAGCGGTTGAGTTTCGGTGAGTAATCTTAAATTGCTCACATATACTCTCATCAAGTAACTGTTGAGATTTGCACCATTTATAGTAATAATGGATTCTGGTACTCCAAACCGTCATATCAGATTGTTGCGAACAAAATTAGCTACAACTTTCTTGGTTACCAACTTGTAAGAAGTTGCTTCCACCCACTTGGTGAAATAATCAATATCAACCAAAATAAATGTGTCCATTAGGCTGACTCTATCAGACCGATGACATCCATGCCCCCAGCTACAAAGGTCCAAGGTGAACTCATAGCATTGAGTTCGTGAGGCAGCACTCGGATCAAATCACCATGCACTTGACATTTATGACATTTCTGCACAAACTTGCAACAATCATGCTCCATAGTCATCAAAAAATAACCGGCTCAAAGGATCTTCCTTGCCAAAGTGAGTCCATTCATGTGCATGCCACAAACTCCAGCATGTATCTGTCAACATCGACACATTTGAGAAGACCTAAATCTGGAGTCCTATAAAAGATTTCTCCACTCAGAAAGAAGTTGAGAGTCATGCGACGTATCGACTTTTTTTGATTGGATGTGGCTTCTTCAGAATAAATCCAAGACTCCAAATGCGTCTTTATATCAAAATACCATGGCAAACCGTCTGGTTCTACTTCAACATGCGAACAATGGACCTGATGTTCTTTCAGATCTATATCTAGAGGATCAATACAGTCAGAATCTGGATGCTTACTCATTGACGCGATGGTGGCAAACGCATCAGCCAACTCATTCTGTGTTCTAGAATTATGTCTGAACTAAGTCTTACGGAATCTTCTGCACAACTTTTGTATATATTGCAGGTATGGCGTAATCTTTAGGTTTTTAACAGCCCATTCTCCTTGAACCTTATGAATTAATAAATCCAAATCTCCAATAATCAATAGCTCGTGGACATTCATGTCAATGGCACACACAAACGCCCGCACACACACACGCACACACACGCACACACATGCACACACACACACACAGCTAACGTCATCTCGCCGCAATCAACAAAGAACCTACTGAACATGGCATCAGACAGTTAGCAACTCGGTGAGATACAGAGGGAGCCCTAATTTCTATTTCTGTATAAGAGATCTAAAGAAAATACCCCATACAAAATTAAAGATTTTAATTTTAACTCGCCCTGCCCCGCCCCATATTTGACCAAACCTGCCACACCCTACACCCGCCGCCCTGCCCCATTGTCATTCCTATTTCAAATGGATGCTGGTTTCCATGCGCAGTAGGCCGAGTCTTCTATGCATCAAACTGCGAAGAAAATGTCTAACAATATATATTCTTGTACATGTTAACCTCTGTTGGAACCAGAATAAATTTAGAGGTTCTACAATGCTTTCTTGCATCTGCTCATACACAGTCACAATAAAAAAACTAACTGGAGTAAGAACCAAATGTGCGACATTTTCATCATCTGTTCCACGACAAATTAAGGTCCTCTGCAAGAATTAAAAGCACATGTTAGCTCTAGAATAAAGTTTCAACCAGAGGCAAAACAACAGAGATAGAACGGGAAAACAAGAGGAACAAAAAAGAATATATAGGTAACTAATGAAAAATGTGATGGAGAATGAACAAAAGGGGAAAGAATTTAACACTTAAACACACACACACACACAAACCTATTTTAAACCATATAAAAACAAGCTAAGCTAGAAATCAGACAAGAAATAATGTGTCTTACATAAGCTGAATCAACCAATCAATTTATCTAATCATCTGACCTACATCATAAGCTTTCAAAATCGTAAAATTTCCTTTCCTTTTAACACAACCAAGCAGGTAATAGTCATTACTGGTTAGTGCTAAACCAGACCAAAAACATTGGTGAATCATCTTTTTAAACAAAGGCTAATGCATTGATATTTGTTAAGATACTAATCAAGTAAACAAAAGTGTTGTATCTAACACTTAACAACTTAAACTTTTAGATGGGATAGTCACACATTTGAACATGGTATCGGAACTAGTTGAGGTTCTAGGGCCATGCCTCACAGCCACCAACTATCTAAAAGAATTGCCACGTGTTTGGCTCATAAAAAAAAATCAAGCTTGCGCATGAGGGGGCATGTCACTAGAATACTTAAGTAAATGAAAGAGTGCTCTCTAGTAGCATAGCTTTTAGATGAGATCGTCCTACACTTTAACAATACTTGTAGGAGCTAATGTCAAAAACAAACTTGCTCATTGGAATTTTGATTGGCTTATTTTAAGTGTTTTGAGCCAAAATAACTTTTAAGCACCTTTTTAGAATTTGGAAAAAAATTAAAAAGTGCTTACAAGTGTACTTGATTAAAATGATACAATCAAGTCATAAGCCATAAATTAAGATTTATCTTATGATATTTGGCTTAAGTTAAGTCATCCAAACAATCTCTTAAATTATTACTTTTTCGCGAGTTTCATACCTCAACCATCCATTGTTCCCTTTCCCTACTCAAATTATTCCCCCCTTCATGTTAAAGCACACCTTGACGTTGAGCTACTAGTGCATCTGAACACACTCCGCTTTAGTTTTTTAAAACAAGTGCCAAGTGGCACTCCACATGGCTAATTTTGTCCACAATCTAACTAGGATGTTTATTAATGATTTTAATTAAATGGGTAAAAGTTCTTAACCTCGATTTTTACCCTTTAACCTTTCAATTTTCAGCGCAAATTATTGTTTAGCTTTTGATTTTGTTAATTAAAAAAATCTAGGGTTCTATAAAATTACATGCCACCTTGACCGATATTTATGGGTTTATAAGCTCCCACAGCCCTATCCAACACAGCAATGAGGTGTGTTTTACTACAAGAGGTGTGACAGTGTAGGTAGGAAAAAGCAACAATGAATGGTAGAGGTATGAAACTCGTAAAAAAGTGATAGATCCTTTTTGTTTGAAAAAGATTTCCTCCCAATAATTTCACTGAAAAACACCCACGTATGGTTTTTGTTTTAAACTTGAACCACAAATGTTGCTGAGGTGGATTTTAACAAGGTACATCCTCCCGAATCACTAGGACTTGAGTAATAATAAAGCAAGAGGGACAGCTATATTCAACTAAGCATCCATTATATGTCAAGGACAGAGAAGAAGGTGACCTCTATAAAAGTAGGAAACATCTTCTCACATCATAAACTTATTTTTCTTCTCTGCTGGCTTAAGAATTTGGAAAGAGCACATCAAGTTTTCATCAACACCCATCATAGCACCAGCATTGTCAAACTCGCCGCAGTAATTGGGAGCTGAAAAAATGGTGACAAGCTGCCTGTCAGCAAAGAATTCATAACCATCCTCCACGACCTGCAAAAATAGATGCAAATCAATTACCTCAGAGGAGAAGCACACAAGGACATACAAAACAGCGTTCCTTTACCTGATGGGCACGACAGACAAGGTCCAAGTCATGCTTTGACAAAAACTCAGAAACTTTATCAGGACCAAAGGTGTATGAAACTCCCCTATCATTCATCCCCCAACCCTTTACATCTTTACCAGGATCTGACCAAAGTAAATCGCAAAGCAAACCAGTGTCCGGGATGGCAGTTGGACGTGGTAAGTTCCGAATCTGATCCAAACTAGAAAGATCAGGGGACAGACCCCCATGCATGCATAATATCTTCTCATCGATAAGTGCTGCTACAGGAAGACAATTAAAACAGTCTGTAAAGGACTTCCATAGTTTCACATTGAACCGACGCTTACACTCATCATAGAATCCATATATCCTATTTATAGAAGCACATTCATGGTTTCCTCTAAGCAAGAAAAAGTTCTCAGGATACTTGATCTTATAGGCAAGCAAGAGGCATATTGTTTCCAAGCTCTGCTTCCCACGATCTACATAATCACCCAAGAATAAGTAGTTAGCCTTCGGAGGAAAACCACCATATTCAAAAAGCCTCAACAGATCACTGTACTGCCCATGAATGTCACCTGAAACGGAAAAAGAAACAGTTACATGAGTAGGGAGATATTGAAAAAACTGAAGCGAGTAAAGGGAAATAGGTGGCTTACCCTTGACTTTATTAAATAAATAAATCTGGCTTCAAGTTAGATTAGCACAACATTTGTACTATTACTTCCTCTGTGAGAGTATATCAATTTTACCTCCGCTCAAGTAGTTCACTGAATTTAATATCACTTATTCTCATATCATATCAAACATTTTCACATACTTGCATACTAACTTCTAGTTTTGATAATCCTGGTGTTTAGATCAGCATCAACTTGCGTGCACCTCAACTAATACTGTGGGGTACTTGCTGCCTCTTACTGACACAACAATACACATATGGGATAACTCTATCCACAAAGGCTTGACAGATGCAAGAAATAACCATGTGTCTTTTTCCTCGACATGAAGTTGAAGCGAAGAGCTCATGGTTCTCAACCCATTTCATCGACCATTAGGCCACACCTTGGGTGCTTGACCTTTTTTTTAAAAAAAAGATGGTGAAAAGCATGCATTAAAATTTGAGTGGGCCATATTTACTAAATGTATGGCGTAACAACCTCTAAACCAACAAACTATCAACTGTCTTATAGATACTCTAGACCTTGTAATAGAGACTTGGTGTCTTCTATGTACTGTTGCTTACACCAAAAAAGAAAAAGCACAATACAACTTAGTTTTATCTTCTGGATTAAGTTGCTTTTTCCCCTCAAAACATCTTAAATTCCTTTCCTTACATATAATTATGCAAGCCGTGATCATGTTCCATCTTTTCTGAGCTGTTGAGACTACTCTTCTGTACCAGCTAGACAGCAACCCTTGTTTGGCATTTTCCAACTCAAGGCTATTAAATAGTTGTAAAGATGTCACATAATTGTGTAGTCACTCTGCAAAGCATAAAAAGGTGACTTGCAATTTTCCCACATAAATGACAGATAAAACAAAGTTGTACACTTGTACTCCCTCTCTTAAGCCTTCTTGTGTCAAACAAGCCGTCTTAGCTACTAATCAAGTAAAACATGCCACACTACATTGAATCTTTCCCTACATATATGTTTCCAGGGCCACTGCTTACTTAGAATAGTGGCATGATTCAACATGTGATAAGATGTTCCAATAGAGAGAACTCCGGAGTTATGCCCGAGCCGCCATATTCAGTCTAGACTTCGTTCGTTCCGATGAACTGGTTTAGTGCGTTGTGAAATTCAGCAAACTTGTGAACGTCCCAATCATTCAAAAAAAACCTTGGAACTTCAACTCCAACCCGTGTATTCCATAGTACACTAATATATAGTTTCCTTTTATTGTTGATTTAAGGTGAAAACGTCATAAATAAAAGCTTGAGAGTGGCATGTCCTAGGTTAGTTGTCTTTCGAGAAGGATATTTACTGCCCATTTCCAACGACCAACGCTGACCTAATCTTGATTCTAAAAGTTCGAATAGATTCCCGACATCAACACCATGAACAGTAGTCTTCTCTTTTGTCCTTCATGTGCTGTCTTCTACACATTTTCCCATGATTACATTTGATCGGCAGCACGAAATGCATGGTTTTAGTTATATTCCGCAGCATATTTCGTACGTGTTACTGTGTTTGAGTTCCAATCCGTTCAATTTATCCCTAATTTGTGTATTTTCTTGTGTAGGACATGATGTTGAACACATGAATGATATGAAGCTAAAAAGGATCAAATAAGGCTTTGAAGTATGAACGAAGTCAAAGAAAACTAATCGGGATCATGTCCAGGACAGAGAGTGTGCACATCAGCCGACTAAAGACATTTTGACACTATTGTATGCCCACCCGGTGCATGGAAAGTTGAGCCTTGCGATGTGGAGGTATCTTTTTAGGACTACCTGCATAAACTCATGTACTCTGATGTTTCGTCTAGACAATGCACATGACCACACATACCACGACATAGCACAGTGTTTTTGGTCCTATCCAAGTCTGTTTGGTTTGGGAAAGGTGTTTTAGTCATAAGGCGTGCCCACATATTATAGACACAATAAAAAAGATTAGACTAGTCAGAAGGAGAGAAACCAGGGGGAGTGATTCGAGATTCCACGAGGGGAAGAACAGCTTGAGCTACATCAATCCTAAGATTTCTTTCATCTCCTCTTGGGGATCATTTGGTACGTGGGGCATATCCCAGGATTATGTTTGGAATTAGATTTATACAATGGTTGGTTGATGGTAAAAACTTATCTTGAATCCTGCCAAGAGAGGGTTTGGAGATTCCGCGAGGGGAGGAACAATTTGAGCTACATCAATCATAAGCTTTTCCTGATGTCACCAAGAAAACCAACGACTATCTAGCCTCTACAACTATTTTACGCATTAACATTCTAGTGTCATCCGTCCCATTTGAGGAGCTTCCCACCTCCCTCTGGTAAACCCAACCCCCCTACCCCTTTTTTGTCACCAACAAGGTCAGCGAAGGAGATATTCTGACCCCATGCCCCATCGACATCAATGAAACAATGTTCTGAAACTTATCCTCCACCCAGATAGAGCTTTGACCCGTCCCCAGCCCATTCGAGCGGCGTTTCTAGTCTTTATTAATACAATTGTTACCTTTCTCAAAAGAGAAAAAGGAATGACAAATAACTCATAATCATCAATATCAATAGAGGTTGCATATATAAGTGGAACATAAATAAGAGCAAGTGAGAGCACCCTCAATAATATGTGTCACACACTCAAGATACATTCTCTCACTCACACATAGAAAGAGGAAACTTACCTCCTCATTTTCCTACCGGAGACATCGGGCCAACAAATGGTGTGAGCATTTTCTATGTTGTTTTTTCTATATTGTAGTTAAAACATGGTAAGTTACCATATCTATATTCTATTTCCTTTGCCGAAGAAGTAAACGGGAGAGGAGATTAGACATGATATGACGCAACTTCAACTTAATGAGAACATGACCACAGAAAGGAGGTTATAGAGGACACAAATTAGGGCAGAAGGTTAGTTTTCTTTGAAACTGGTAAAAATTACTAAAACCCAACCATGCTTTCGACTGCAGCTTCACAAGGAACCTATCACATCAACTAGCGATTCAATATCCTCTACAAAGTTTTCTTTACACCAAAAATGAAACAAAAGAATAAAATTCATCTAGACTTTCTGCACAAGATTTCTTGTCTTCAAAAAATTATGTAGTTCCTCTCCTTCCAAATTGTCCACCATTTACAAGTTGGGACAAGTTTCCACCACTTCTTTTGTCTCACTGCACCACCATTATAGTTCCAACACTTCAATAAATTACAACTTGTTGCTGGAATAGACCATCTTAGTCTTACCAAGTTTAAAAAAGGCATAATACATACATATGCCCCTTAACTTGGTTTCAAATTATAACTTTGACCTTTATGTTTGATTGTGCACAAACAGACACTTTAACTATCCAAAATTTATACAAAAAAACCACTCAAATATTTCAGACACAATGCGTGATATACAATTGCTCTGACGTGGATAAGTGAACCACTAAGTTGCTACCAACTAAATAAAATAAATACACCTAGATTTTAAAAAAATAAAAATAAATTATAATATAGAATAAGGTGAAAAAGAAAACAAATTCATTTTTGGAAATATTTTTACCACGCTTTTCTCTCTTTCTTCTAGAAAAAAACAAACCCTAACCTAAATTCCAGAATGCATGCCCTTATATTCAAATCAAAGAAAAAATTGTTCAAGATATGTATAGAAAATTCATATACTTGAACGATTACTTAATGGAAAAAAAGATGTTTTATATATTATGATTGTTATAGTGAATAGCAAATTACAGTTACGATTTTTCAGAGGCTAAGAAATAAACATAAAGAACTAAAAATTATTAAGTAAAATGGTGCACTTAAACTGTTTGATAAAATGCCTAAATGAACTTCTTAAGTTGTATTTTGTACATCGATTATTGCTACATCTTGTGATGACTACTGTTCAGGAAGATTTGTCGGGCTGTTCATAGTATTATGTCATGACTTCTTCATTTCCATTTTTTTCAATTAAACAAGCTCAACCTTGGGGAAAAAGGTGGTAGGCTGATGTTGAAAGTTATACTGCTTCGGGCTACCTTTTCTCGAGTTATGGGTCTATCGAAGTCAACCCCTCTATCTTAAGATAGTGCAAAGGTTTGTGTACCTTTTACCCTCCCAGACCCCACTTTGGGAGATTATACTGGGTATGTTGTATATTTTATCATATTTAGTTATGTATCATTTTTGAGTGATTTTATTACTTTTCCTATCTTCAGGAACAGGACTAACTAGAGTGTCACAGTAGGTTTCCAGTTTACCAAATTTTGGTGCTAACAATCAATGCCTTTGGTGATTTTTCACAAGGTATCATTTGAACTGTACTTAAGAGCTAGAGAGCAGAAGAACCAATCAATGTGCCCATTCAATATTGTGAGAAACTATGGATGGTGCACACACCAACTAAAAATTGTTGCAAAAGATGGTTACATGGGCTAACCAGCAGCAAAACAAAAGAATCCGATCCAATCTAGAGTTGGTATCTACCTCCATTGATTATCCAATACCATCCATGGTGTTAACAATGATCAGACGGCATTGCTCAACATCAACTAACAGAGGCCAAAGCTTTTTATTGATATCCCCAATGATGGTGGTGGTAGAGAAAAGTCAGTGTTGCTCATTGGTATACTACTTCCTATTCTAGTATAAATATCACTCATTAGTTTCTTGGGTTGAACATGACTATTTTATTTATTGATAATGCAAAACGTAGTGAGACCTATATAATTTTTGGTGGTACTTTAAACTCTTCTTCATTTTACATAATAACTGAGAGTACTACAAATGAACCAAACAGAGCAGATAACAAAGTCAAACCAAGAAAATTGGATGGTTTAAAAAAATCTAATTTTAGACATATGCCATAGATTAATCGAGATATCAGCATGTTATAATTTCTCTAAAACAACATTGACACCCCTTGTTTGATTGCAACTTTAACTAATGACTTCATATTTGAAAAATGGACTATAAGCAACATTTCTAATCTAACAGGAGGAATAACCCCTGAACAAACAAAAGCTACTTCAATGGGTCACTTCAAAAGCATTGAATAAAAAAGAGCTAACACTGAAAGCAATAAGAGTTAAAACTAGTATAAGTGGACTGCTAACCAAAACAAATGTGTAGCAACAAAGGATACAAAATAAGCATGATACCATGATGACTGCCATAGTTAGTAGTGAACCAGATGCAGAAAGAGATGGTGAACTGTTGACTAGAAAATCGTAACCTACCCTCTTGTGAACCAAGGAAAGTAGTCAAATAAGGCAATATAAAGTAAAAAGAGTAGATATAAACAGTAACCACTTATCACAGTGGCAATGGATCACCCACCACCGGAAGGTACACTTGACGTAGACAGTGGATCCTCAATCGTGTTAAAAGAGTATTCTTTACTTGGATTGTCAGAGGTTCAAAATCCCTAGAGGTGGTCAACTTCAGGGGTGGTCGTTTTTCGTCAATGTAAACCATTATAATTTTGTTCCCTCCCATAATACACACCTAACATTCTAAAGATACATGCATGAATCAAACAAATTATGCATCAGTATTTTATTTTCTTAATACATCGTTTTGCATTAGTACAATCCAAGCAACTAGTCAAATTTGCACATATCACCAGAACTTTCTCTTATGAATCTTCTTTTACTTATAATATCTAGGATGAATCAGACTCTGTAGGGATTAAAATACAGCCACTGTTATCTTAAAATTTCACCAGGTTCATTAAGCTGGAGAACAAGAACTCTCATCCCCAGTTTTGCAATAAAAACATAGGATATTTCAAGAAGCAAGTCATGGGTTGACAGTCTTGCAAACATCAAAATTTAGAAAAAGCACTAGGGCAGCGACTGTGTCACAGAAGGACTTTATGATTTGATTTCTTCGCAACCAGAGCTCATTCCTTCAAACAAAAAAAAACAGATTACCTAGAGGAGAACCTTGTATGTCATTTTTCCCTCTAAAGTTGACAGAATCAAAGGGCCTATAGAATCTAAACTAGCCATTAAAACAACTTGCAACCATATAGCAAAAAGCAACAAAAATAGCAAACATAAAAGTATATCCCAATCGGTGATACAAAGGACAGAAAGAGCAAGAGTTAGAAGGAGAGCTCCCATAGATAGGGTATATTACCGCAAATTTTGATGGGTGCTTCAAGTTCAAGTAGATTTGGCTGTTTAACGAAGATATCTCTAGAGGAAACACATAGTTGCTTGATTTCAGACTCGGAAAGCTGCACCAACTTGCCAGGCTTCGATAATCGAACTTCTAATAGCTTCTCAATAATCCTATCGACAGCTGCAGGGTCCATGACTCCCCTGCTACCGTCCTTCAATCCCCCAACACCGATCCACACTGATTAATCCCTATTCTCGCTACTGTCAAAGGGAAACCAGGACTCAAAAATGCTTTTATGCTGATGAATCAAAATTGACTAGTCGCCTCTAATGTAAGGGTGTCAAACAACATTTCAAAAAGGAAAACACTAAAAAATGTCCTTAAACTATTAAAAATAATACGTAAATACCTTTCAATTATATTTCGACACAAAATTAGTTTTTCGGTTATATTAATGGATTAAAAATTCCCTTCTTGTTAACTGAAACTATTAAATGTCATGTGAATGCCACATGATATACCACATAACATGCCACAATTTCATTCATTTTCACATAGACTAATATTAATAGAGTGATATATCTCCGAGTGAACTAGAGTGAGGAGTGTCTGTCTCTTCCCACATAGCTTATGAAATGTCCCTTTTCTTAGCATGATTTCAAAGAATGTGTGCATATGGTCTTATACTTAGTACAAGTGGTGTACTAACCCCATCTATTCCTTTTTCCCAATATTTTAGGTTTCGGTCGTTGAAGTGATTTTGAAGAAGACTTGGATCTCTTGATCATCCAAGTAGGTTAGGTCATCACTTTCTGAGGGCGATGCCACTATCTAACTAATTGAGTTGTTTTGAGTTTAAGACTATTATGTTATTTCTTTTCCATTTAGTATCAAACATTGTATAGCCCATGTGAGGCATTCTTACTTTGATGCATGGGCTATGCCCAAGTTCTTACACTCCTGTTAGATGGTTATGTGATGAGACGACTATTATGACTATTTTATATTTTATATACTTATGTGCAACTAAAGTAGAAGACTAAGTAATCTTACTATATGAAGGGTCTATATATATATATATATATATATATATATATATATATATATATATATATATATATATATATATATATATATATATATATATTATGTGTATATAGAGGTCTACGTAAACCTCCAAGTAAATGTAATTAAAAGTTTTAAATATTCTGCTAAATTAAACTTATGAATGTAATGATGTAAGCTAAAAGGCTAGTCTTAGTCCTCAAAGAGGACGACAACGCTTGTTATGTATAGGGGCTATTCCCGGATGTGACAAACTTGGTATTAGAGCATGAGGTTAAATATCTTTGGGTCGATGTCTCTCAACCACGTCTATGTAGGTTCGTATTCATAATTGTGAAGCACTCACACTTATGAATAGGAATCTATAAGATGCTTAGGAAACTTTCACTTTCTTGGAAGTCCAATATTGTGCGTTTAGAGTGTTAACTCTACGTTCTTTTGCATCTAATCCACTTATTGTGATTATAGGCAATGAATACTCAAAGGAATATGGCACGAAGACTTGAAGAAGAAATTTCCAATGTGGGAGTTCCTCCCTGCGGTGATCAAGTTCCTCCTCTTGAGAAATATGTGAATGATGACCAAGCCCCGGTGAATCCTCTTCCTTTAACGGATGAGAACATAAGGGCCGCTCTCTTTCAAATGGCCCAAGCCATTACTACCCAAGCACAAGCCGTCAATACTCAAACCCAAGCCATGACGACCCAAGATAATCGGAAGGTTGTACCTCGAGCATCAACAAGTTGCTACCATCGCCTCTCGTCTAAAGGATTTCACTAGGATGAACTCTCCTACTTTCTATGGGTCCAAGATTTAAGAAGACCCCCAAGAGTTCATCGATGAAATCCACAAGATCTTCTATGCTATGGGGTTGTGTACTATTGAAAAGGCTGAGTTAGCCACCTATCAACTCAAGGATGTGGCTCAAGCATGGTACGTCTAATGGAGGGACAATAGGACTTTAAGAGGTGGACTTGTGACTTGGGAAGTGTTGAAGAAGGCTTTTCTTGATCTTTTCTTTCCTAGGGAGAAGAGGGAAGCTAAAGTGGTGGAGTTCATCAACCTTCGGCAAGGAGGTATGAGTGTTCATGAATACTCCTTGAAATTCACTAAATTGTCAAAATATGCTCTTTCTTTGGTTTCCGATCCTAGAGATGAAATGAGTCATTTTGCGATGGGGGTGTCAGATGATTTGCAAGAGGAGTGTCATTCGACTATGCTACATGACAACGTGAACATTTCTCATCTTATGATTCATGCTCAACATGTAGAAGAGGCAAGGGCTAACAGGAAGAGTAGAGATGCCAAGAGGGCAAGATCATTTGATGGAGGTTCTTCAAAGGGAAGGCTTGAGATACAAGACAAGCCTAGGTTTAAGAAGAGGGTTTCTAATCAAGTTCCTTTTAAGTTTCCTAAGGCTAGGGATGGCAGGGTGACTAACCCTAACCCTAAAAAGGGAAATGGTACTAGTTCACCAACCGAGAAGCCAACTTGTGGAAAGTGTGGCAAGAAGCATTATGGTGATTGTCTTAAGAGAACAAATAATTGTTTTGGTTGTGGTAAAAGTTGGAACAAGGTTAGGGATGCCCTAATGTAAGGTTTCAAGACAAGGGTAGTGGTCAAGCTCAAGCAAGCGGTTCAAATGAGGCTCAAAGGAAGAATCGGTTCTATGCTCTTCGCTCTAGGAGTCAGCAAGAGACTTCTCCTGACGTGGTGACCGGTATGTTGAAAGTCTTCTCTATTGATGTATATGTCTTACTTGATCCCCGTGCTACCTTATCATTTGTTACTCCTCTAGTAGCTAAAAACTTTGACATTTTGCCCGATATTTTGCATGAACCTTTTATAGTGTCTACCCCGGTGGGTCAGTCGGTTGTTGCAAAAAGGGTGTATAGAAATTGTCTTATAATGTTGACCAATAGAGTTTCTTATGTTGAACTAGTATAACTTGATATGCTAGATTTTGATGTCATTTTGGATATGGATTGGTTGCATGTTTGTTTTGCCACTATAGATTGTAGAATGAGGGTGGTGAAGTTTAACTTTCAAAATGAGCCCGTCTTAGAGTGAAAGGGGAGAAATTCTTCCTAGAGGTCGCATGATCTCTTGTTTGAAAGCATGAAAAATGATATCTATAGGGTGTTTATACCATATAGTAAGGGTCCAAGATTTAGACTCCGTAATTCCTCCAATTGAGTCGGTCCTTGTAGTGAAGAAATTCTTGGAGGTCTTTCCTAATGATCTTCCTGATATTCCTCTTGAACGGGAAATTGATTTTGGTATTGACTTGTTACCGGATACAAATTCCATTTCAATTCCTGCTTATCAGATGACTCCAAATTGAAAGATTTGAAGGCTCAACTCAAAGATTTACTAGACAAAGGCTTCATTAGACCTAGTATTTCTCCATGGGGTGCTCAAGTTTTGTTTGTGAAGAAGAAGGATGGTCCCTTAGGATGTGCATTGGTTACCGCCAACTCAATAAAGTCACAATCAAGAACAAGTATCCTCTCCCTCGGATTGACGACTTGTTTGATCAACTCCAAGGGGCAAGCTACTTTTCTAAGATCGGATCTATCGGGGTATCACCAACTTAGGGTAAGAGGTGAGGGTATACCGAAGACGACCTTTTGGACTAGATATGGTCACTATGAGTTCTTAGTAATGTCATTTGGTCTTACAAATACCTCGGAAATGTTTATGGATTTCATGAATAGAGCTTTCAAAGTTACCTAGATTCATTTGTCATTGTCTTCATTGACGACATTTTGGTATATTCAAAAAATGAGGATGATCACATGAACCATTTAAGGGTGGTGTTGCAAGTACTTAAGGAGAATCAATTGATTGCCAAATATATAAAATGTGAGTTTTTGGTTAAGGTCGGTAGTGTTTCTTGGTCATATCATCTCTATTGAGGGAGTTGAGGTTGGTCCAAGGAAGACCGAGGCGGTGAAAAATTGGCCTAGACCATTGACTCCAATCGACATTAGGAGTTTCTTGGGTCTAGTGGGTTATTATCAGAGGTTTGTGGATAGTTTTGCGTCCATTGCATCTCCCTTGACTACTTTGAACCAAAAGAGTAAGAAATTTGAATGGTCGGAGGCATGTGAAAAGAGCTTCCAAATGGTCGGAGGCATGTGAAGAGCTTTCAAATGTTGAAGGATAGGCTTACTTCCGCTCCAGTTTTGACCCTATTGGAGGGTACAAAGGGTTTTGTAGTATATTGTTATGCATCCCGAGTTGGGTTGGGTGTGTTCTCATGCAACATGCGAAGGTTATAGCCGATGCCACTAGGCAACTCAAGGTGCATGAGAGTAATTATCCGATTCATGACCTTGAAGTAGCGTCAGTGGTATTTGCTTTCAAGATTTGGAGGCATTACTTGTATGGGGTCCATGTGGATGTGTATACGGACCATAAAAGTCTTCAATACATATTCACTCAAAAGGATTTAAATCTCCGATAAGGGAGATGGTTAGAGTTGTAGGAAGACTATGACATGAGTGTCCTCTATCATCCCGGTAAAGCCAATGTAGTAGCGGATGCTTTTAGTCGTTTATCCATGGGAAGTGTGTCCCATGTTGAAGAAGCCAATAGTAAAGGATGTTCATAGGTTGGCTCATTTAGGGGTTCGAATTGAAGATTCTCCCATAGTTGGTGTGGTGGTATGTCATAACTTCAAGTCGTCTTTGGTGGTCGAGATGAATTCCAAACAACACCTTGATCAAGCATTGATGGAGTTAATGGATTCGGTTCTTGGTAAAGTCAATGATTCATTCTCCTTGGGGGGGATAGTGTCTTGAGGTGCCAAGGGAGGTTATGTGTTCCTCATATAGATGGTTTGAGGAGTCGGATTCTTGAGGAAGCTCATGGAACCCGTTACTCCATTCATCCGGGTTCAACGAAGATGTACCATAACCTTAGGGAAGTATTTTGGTGGGAAGGTTTTAAGAAGGACATAACGGAATTTGTCGCTAAGTGTCCAAATTTCCAACAAGTGAAAGCCGAACATCAAAAGCCGGGTGGTTTACTACAAGAAATCCAAGTTCCTACTTGGAAGTGGGAGAACATCAATATGGATTTTGTAGTAGGGTTGCCTCGGACACAAAAGCAATATGACTTTATATGGGTGATTGTGGATAGGTTGACCAAGTCCGCTCATTTTATTCCCGTCAAGGCTACTTATTCGCCGGAAGATTGTGCAAGGATCTTCATATATGAGATTATGTGTTGCCGTGGTATCCGTTATCTATCATATCGGATAGAGGTGCAAAATTCACATCTAGGTTTTAGAGGTCATTCCAATAAGGGTTGGGTACCAAGGTGAAGCTAAGCACCGCTTTTCATCCCCAAATGGATGGTCAAGCAGAGTATACTATTTAAACCTATGAGGATATGCTTAGATCTTGTATTATTGATTTCAAGGAAAATTGGGATAAGCATTTGCCTTTGGTGGAGTTTGCTTATAATAATAGTTTTCATTCATCCATAACGATGGATCCTTATAAATCCTTGTATGGTAGGAGGTGTAGGTCTCCTATTTGGTTTAAAGAGGGTAAGCCTTCGATTCTTGGTCCCTATTTGATTTATAAAACTTTGGAGAAAGTTCATATCATAAGGAATGGTTGCAAATGGCCTATAGTCGGCAAAAGTCTTATGCCGATCATAGGAGTAGGGATTTAGAGTTCAAGTAGGTGATAAGGTGTATTTAAAAATTTCGCCTACAAAAGGGGTGGTTAGATTTGGCAAGAAAGGGAAGTTGAGTCCTTGTTATGCGGGTCCCTATGAAATTTTGCAAAGGGTTGGTAAGGTTGCCTACGAGTTAAGGTTGCCTAGTGAATTGGCTTCGGTTCATCCGATTTTCCATGTTTCTATGCTTAAGAAGTGTATCGGTGATC